ACGGTTTTCGTCGATTGAGGTACGAATCTTTATCCCATCCATGTGCTTTAGTTGTCTATGTTAGTATCTTGGATCAATTTTGAGGTTTTACATGTCGTTCAAAATACCCATTTTAGCCGACGATTTCGGCTTTAATTCGGCTAGTTCCGACTAGTTTTTGGCCGTAGAGACAGTAGGACTCTGATAGTGTCGATCTTGGCTATTCGGGCAAAGGTCTCTTGGTAGCCCACCTCATGTCTCTGTCTGTACCCCTTCGCCACCAATCTAACTTTAAATCTTTCAATGGATCCATTTGCTTTGAGTTTCACAGTATAGATCAACATGCATCCCATAGTCTTCTTTCCATAAGGTAAAGGCACGAGCTCTCATGTGGCAATCTTCTGGAGAGCTCGCATGTAACAACCCGTCCCAAAAATCACTTTTCAATTGATTATTTAATTGTGGATTTACAATTTTGCCCTCGGGATAGGGTTACTTTAGTCACTTTTCGATCTGGAAGGATTTTGAGTGACACCATTTCGTAGAGCTCGCTCTCACGAGTTCGTAGACACGTAGTGGGCTTAAATCGAAGTTATAACGAAGAAGTTGTGGCCAATGGAAGTGCAGTAGAACAAACGTAAATTTTTCAAAGTTGGGTTTTAAAATACCTAGTCAGCCTCTCTCTCTCTCTCTCTACGCATGTGACTTTCTCTCTTTACACGAGCAGCAGCAAATTTTCAACGGCGATTTTGTCGTCGTTCCAGTGTCCGATTCGAGCAAAATTGGTTGCAAAAGTTTCGTATCGATGTCCTCTATCTTACCCACATTTTCCTAGCACAAAAACTTAACGAAAATAAATTGGAATGATTGGAAGTTCGGGTGATTTTTGAAGTTTCCGACGTTGTTTTAGGAGATCCCGGTTACGGTTTTCGTCGATTGAGGTACGAATCTTTATCCCATCCATGTGCTTTAGTTGTCTATGTTAGTATCTTGGATCAATTTTGAGGTTTTACATGTCGTTCAAAATACCCATTTTAGCCGACGATTTCGGCTTTAATTCGGCTAGTTCCGACTAGTTTTTGGCCGTGGTCCAAGAACAAACCTTGATCCCCTAGTAAGTCTGAATCTGTTGGCATAGGTATTCTCCGGTGGTTTGGAGATTTTCCGTCGCTGGTAAATCTTTTAAGACACCCACGCGCTGTCGGAGGTAGGTGGTGGCCCATAGAGTTCTAAATTGTTACTCTTGTTGTCCTAAGCGTGACGGTATGCTCGAATTTGGATTTGATTATCGTTTCACAGTCGAACGGATATTTCCCCTATTATGCCATATCCGGGGTCAATTGGG